CAATACAGGATGTGGCCACGGAAAGCTGATCTGAACTCTGCCCGCCCCCTAGCTTGTGTTTAAAGAGATTGGATATCTAAGCACAGATCCCTTTCTCGTTCCTCTTGTTCTTCTAAACCTGTTCACTTCATTCTAGGTTTACATCTCTTGGTTGTTTCCATTTAAAAAAAGTTAAGATTTATTTATTTTTATTTGGAAGGCAGAGTTAGAGAGAGAAAGACAGAGAGATGGCCACAATGGCCAGGGATGGGCCAGACCAAACCCAGGAGCCGGGAGCTTCTTCTGGGTTTCCCACATGGGTGGAGAGGCCCAAGGACTTAGGCCATTTTGTGCTACTTTTCCAGTTGCATTAGTAGGGAACTGGATCAGAAGCAGAGCTGCAACGAATCAAACCATTGCCCATATGGAATGCAGGCACTGCAGGCAGCAGCTTAACTCGCCATGCCACAGCGCTAACCCCGATTTTTAAATGTTCGATCATATTTTAAAGCACTTAGTTCAAGAATACTGTGTATTGTAGCAAGATTGATTCTTAATATATGAAAGACAAGGATTGAGAGTGGTGTGTCAATAAAAAGTGAAGCGAAGGCTTACTGCTCACAACTTCATGTTGCTGAAGGTTCAAATAAGAATGTCAGTAAAAGAAAAAAAATTTTTTTTTGACAAGCAGAGTGGACAGTGAGAGAGAGAGAGACAGAGAGAAAGGTCTTCCTTTGCCGTTGGTTCACCCTCCAATGGCTGCTGCGGCCGGTGCACTAAGCTGATCCGATGGCAGGAGCCAGGTACTTCTCCTGGTCTCCCATGGGGTGCAGGGCCCAAGCACTTGGGTCATCCTCCACTGCACTCCCGGGCCACAGCAGAGAGCTGGCCTGGAAGAGGGGCAACCGGGACAGAATCCGGCGCCCCGACCGGGACTAGAACCCGGTGTGCCGGCGCCGCAAGGTGGAGGATTAGCCTAGTGAGCCACGGCGCCGGCCAGTAAAAGAAAATTTTTTAAATATTTTATTTATTTATTTATTTGAGAAGTAGAGTTACAGACAGTGAGAGAGAGAGACGGAGAGAAAGCCCTTTCTTCCATTGGTTCACTCCCCAAATGGATGCAATGGCTGAAGCTGCACCGATCCAAATCCAGGAGCCAGGAGTTTCTTCCTGGTCTCCCATGTGGGTACAGGGGCCCAAGGAGTTGGGCCATCCTCCACTGCTATCCCATGCCACAGCAGAGAGCTGGGTTGGAAAAGGGGTAGCCAGGACTAGAACCGGCGCCCATATGGTTTGTCGGTGCCACAGGCAGAGGATTAACCTACTGTGCCATGGCTCTGGCCCCAAGAAATTGTTTTTAAAGGCTTCATGTAAAAATGTTACATTTTTACTTTGGGAGAGAATGTTTTTAATAATACACTTATAATTTCTTCATGTTCATTTTCTTTAAATATCTATTCTGGATGCCAGGAAAATACAAGACCTTTTTGGCCTTCTGTTTTATCTGTTGTTTGAGGGCGCTTTCCCTGCGCTGCTCACTGAGCGGTAGCTGAGGCGCATCCTTTGCTGAGCGCTTTTTGACCCTGAGGGCTCTGAGGATGATAGCTGACCTTACTGACACCGGAACATGGGGTGGGGATTCTCCTTTCACTCTGCTTCAGTGATTCTTCTCCCTCCCTAGAGTCACCTCCTCCTTTCAAAACCAGCTTGCAGTTCTTTCTACTCAGTCTAGTCACTTCCTCCTCCCTGAACTTGGAGTCAGTGATTCAATCCTTCTGGCACAGAATGGACGCTCCAGGGAGAGCATGTTTTCCCTCTCTGATGGAGCTGCTTCTTAATTAGTGTGCATGCCACAGACTTGAACTTGGTCACACTCAGGGTCCCAGATATCTGTTAGGAGAATCATAATCAGTAATTTGCGAATATACACAGTACTCAGTAATTCCATCAGTTCCTTGTGAAATTTCTTGTCTAAGAGGGCATGGGGGCTTGATGCTTGGAAATGATATGATTAGAGAAGCAGCTGCTTGGGTAGCTTGTCACTAAATAATAAGGAAATACAGGCCTGGTTAAGGGCCTGAAAGCTATGGTCAAGATGGTTTTTGTCCTTCTGCGTTAATTGAAATTGGTTGTTGATACCTGTGTTAAGAAGGAATTTGAACACTGTTCCTCCCTCTCTCTATAACTCTGACTTTCAAATAAATAAATAAATCTTAAAAAAAAAATAAAAGAAGGAGAAGGAACCTCAGACTCTGATTGCCTAGCATGTTGTGATGGTTTCCTCTGAGTTGCTTTGGTGAGGTGAAGAGAAATGGCTAATATTCCCTCTGCGTGTCCAGTGTTCATTCTACACATGAGAAATGAACTAAACAGAGGGATCACACAGTTCATGGCAGAAAGTTAGAGTGCAAAATTGTTGGCTTTCTAATTCTTTTTTCCAGGATGTTTCTCACTTAGCTAAAAAAGGTAAACTATATATGTGCTTCTTGTGTTAGAGGTGTTTTTTGTTTTAGTTTTTATATAAAGGAAACACAGTGACATGTAAATAGATCCTCCTGCAAACAGCTGTTAGGCACAAGGGAGAGAGTATCAGAATGGTGTCTACTAGTTGCTGTTTTGCCCATCTGATGATTGATCTCCCCAAGTTTACATTTGAATGTACAGACAGCAGATTTTGACTTTACAGAGGGAAAACTTGACCCAAACTGTAGGGACCTTGAGAACTACTTTACTGAGCACCTTAAAAATTAAGTGTGCACGTTAATGTAGTAATGATACTCTAAGTTCCTTAGAGGCAGGAGTTCAGTTATTTTCAGTTAGTTTTAAATTGAAATATTATAATTTAGTAACCCGATGGGTATTTGTGTACTTTTCCTTTTTTAAATTCATGTTTATCAAGGTATAGCTTCTATGTAACAAAATCTCTTTCAGATGTATAGTTTTGACAGACGTACATGGTTGAGTCTAGCACTGTGCTCAAAACACAGATCATTCTTGTCGCCTGAACATGTTTCCTTGCCCTTTTTTTGCCAGGCAACCACTAATAGATTAATTTTGCCTCTCCAAAAGGTCATATAAATGGAGTCATAATATGTAGCCTTTGGAGTCTGGCTTCTTTCTCTCAGCATAATCCTTTTTTTTTTTTTTTTTTTTTAAGATTTATTTATTTATTTGAAAGAGTTACACAGAGAGAGGAGAGGCAGAGAGGGAGGGAGGGAGGGAGAGAGAGAGAGAGAGAGAGAGAGAGAAAGAGGTCTTCCATCCGCTGGTTCACACTCCAGTTGACTGTGATGGCCAGAGCTACGTGGATCCGAAGCCAGGAGCTTCTTCTGGGTCTCCCACATGGGTGCAGGGGCCCAAGAACTTGAGCCATCTTCTACTGCTATCCCAGGCCACCGCAGAGAGCTGGATCGGAAGAGGAGCAGCTGTGACACGAACCAGCGCCCATAGCATAATCCTTTCAAGATTTATGTTTGTTCTCTTTTATTGATGAATATATATTTTTCCACTAAATGATCCACAGTGTATTGATACATTCACTTGATGGACATTGAGATTGTTTGCAGTTTGGGGTCATTAAGATAAAGCTGGAGCCAGTGCTGTGGCATTCTGGGTAAAGCTGCCACCTGCAGTGTTGACATCCCATACAGGTGCTGATTCTAGTCCCAGCTGCTCCACTTCTGATCCAGCTCTCTGATGTGTTCTGGGAAAACAGTGGAGAATGGCCCAAATCCTTCAGCCCCTGCACCTGCGTAGGAGATCGGGAAGAAGCTCTTGGCTCCTGGCTTTGGGTTGACTCAGCTCCCGCCATTGTGGCCATCTGGGGAGTGAACCAGCAGTTGGAAGACCTCTATCTCTGTCTGCCTCTGCTTTTCTGTAGCTCTGTCTTTAAAATAAACAAATCAATCTTAAAGAAAAAAAAAAAAGAATAAAGCTGCTGTAAAAACTCACATGCAGGTCTTAGAATACTCATTTTGGTCTTGGGTAAATATGTAAGAGTTGATTGCTTAGTTTTGTGGTGTGTGTTTATAAAAACTGACAACGTGTTTTCCAAAACGGATATGCCATTTTAGAAAAATACTGATTTATTGATTTGAAAAGTTGAGAGAGAGAAATACCTTCCATCAGCTGGTTTACTTCCCAAGTATTCACAGCAGCTGGCTCTGGGCTAGAACAGTCAAGAACTCAAAATTCCATCTGGCTCTTGCTTGTGAGTGGCAGGGGCCCAAAGCACTGTTGCCTTCCTAGGTATGTTAGCCTGGAACCGGATTGACTTGAACCCAGGGTCCTCTATGGGATGTGGGTGTCCCAAGTGGTGACTTAATCACTGTGCCAAACCCCCGCCCCCTCCATGTGTTAATTTTATTCTTTCCAGCAATGTATGAGAAACCTTCTTGTTTCTTATTCCTGCCAGGACCTGGTATCGTCTATCTTCTTAATTCTACTTTTAATTAAAATCTTAGTATGATTCCAGTTTACATTTCCCTAATGCCTAATGATGTTGAACATTCTCTCAGGTGCTCATATACCATCTGTCTGTCTTTGGTGAAGTCTGTTTAAATTTTTGCCTATTTTAAAATGAAACTTTCTTTCAGAGTCTTTTGTATTGTAGATCCAAGTCCTTGACCAGATAATGTATTTTACAAATATTTTCTCCCAGATTGTGATGTGTCTCCTTGATAGTGTTTTTGGAAGAACAGTGTTTCATAATTGTTAGCACTTCTGTATCTTTATTTTTACAGTTATAAAATTAACACAAGGCTATTGTAGTAAATTATATTAACATTAAAATATTGATCCAATCTGCCTTTCTAGTATTTAAACACATTATTATAATCAAGTGAAAGAGAAATTTGCAATGTTATATGCAAAGGTAAAAATTTTGCATTGAAAGTATATTTTGAAAGTTACTCTTATTTTCATAACTAAAATTTGTCTTCATATTCAAGAGAATATTTTGGAGAAGAGGAATTACCTGTTAATACTCTGGTTAACCTGTTTTGTTCTTTTTTTTTTTCTAGTGTTATCCAAGATAAATTCTGTGGGATTATAAACATCTCAGTGGAGGGCCTTCATGATGTCATGACGGAAGATTCTGAAACAGGCACTTACAAAGAGTAGGTGGATATTTAATTAATGACAGTTGGATATGGGTGAGAGTTAAATATATGCTGCCTGATTTTTGTTCACTGTCACCATATAAGTTCAGTTGTAAAAACTTTGTAATTTTATGTTTTATTCAGAAAACTGTTTACTTTGCCTGTATTTACTGTTTGAATTGGGCATCTTTGTTTTCATTTTGTGTGTGTAATTTGGCATTAGTTTTTTTTTTTTAAAGTTCCCTGTGTATTTATATAAGCTTCTTTTTTAAAATGTTTCAAGGATATCTGCTTTCAAATTAAGAAAGTTCCCCTACATTTCGGACTGTGGAGGAAAAGAGCATGAAGCCCTTTGTATTTCTCTGATTGGAGCATCATTCATGCCTCTAAGTTGTTAAGAGTGTATGGTCATTGACTAGTTCCAAAAGAGAACCGTTAAAATTATATTCTTTAGGAGAAGAGAAAATCATGTTATCAGGAATGCTGGTAATGTCATTTTTATACAACTGTTAATTTGAAATTTTCTCCTTTTAAAAATCAATCTTTGTATCCTTTTATGGTTCGTAGAATTGTCACACCTTTCCACTTACTAATGAAAAAAGAGCATGTTTTACACAGTGATAAGCAAATCTTCAGGTTACAGGCTACTTGACTTCTCATTATTCACATACTGAGCTTGTTTTCTTTGCTCTTTAAAGCTATGAGTAGAAAATGAGAAAGATTGCCATTTGAATAATATTTCTCTAAAAAACAGAGAAAGCAGATATTTGTTGTTGATTGTTACTAAATGTGTATGAACACAATGTGTCTGACATTAGCTTTTGAGAAAATAGGAGGTCATGTGAAGTGAAAAAAATACTATTTATGACTACAAACCAAAACTAAAACCATTGATAAGCATGTGATCATTTTTATTAAAAGTTAACATAAATATTTATATTATATAACTGCAAATGGTGTATTTTTATACATAATATATGGCAAAATTTGTGAATATTTGTGAATTGTTCAAATGCTCTTTGTCCTTCTCTTTGGATTACATAATTTGATTGGGAGAAGAGCATAGCTGATAGCACAAGGAAAACACTACTAATGAGGAAAAGCAGTTACATGTGTTTTGTGCAGAGCACACAACCATAGAATTCTAGATTGTGCTGTAATAGAAAGTGAAAGAAAACGTAGTAATGAAATCGGACAAGACCCCCTAAAATCTACCCTGAAATGTGGCCCCTTAAAGCTCCCTAGAAATGCTATCCGGGGTGCCACATGCACTACTGGAATTTGGGGTGCCTTACGATTTCACTGCGGGCTTATTACTAAATCCCCGATATTAATAAGCCTGAGAGAGTTCTTGCCTAATACTTAGAGAAGAATTCTAAATACCGGCACAGATAAACGAGGCAGCATGGTACGTTTTAAGCTTTTATTTAGTAAGAAATGTGCATAGGAGAGTGAGAGCTTTATTTAGGGGAGAGAGGTGAATAGGGGTTCATACCGAGCAGCAGGAACCAGCCACGTGGATGAGCATCTAAGCCAGGAAGCCTAGAGCACATGGCCCAAAGGCCATGCGCCCTGGAGGCGCAGGGCTACAGCAAGCCCTGTCCTGTTAGCAGTCTTCAGAGAGGCATAATGTGGGGAGCAACTGGGAGCGACTCGGACTAGACTAAGTTACTGGAATTAAGACTTATTCTATGCATCTGCTCTCCCACAATATGGCGCTGAGAAGGGAGAAACAGCTTCTACACAGCTGCCTCCAGTTCAACCAATAAACAGCAGGACCTGCTCCTGATTGGAGGAGAGCAGCGTGCTTGGCATGTGGATAGCAGAGTTGGGATTGGTGGAAAAGGACTATAAAGGAGGAGAGAGAAAACATGCACCAGGAACATCTAAGAGGAACACCTGTGCAGCCCCCGAGAGAGCCGGCCGGCGGTGTGCCGCTCCCCTGCGGAAGTGGGGAAAGTGGCCAGGGGGAACCGCCCTTCTACGGAGGTGGAAGGGACGGCAGCCAACCCGGGAAGAACCAGCAGCAAACCCGGGAAGGGCCGAGCAGACAAAAGAACAGCGCAGGGTCCTGTGTCGTTCCTCCATGAAGACGGGGAGCGACATAATGGTGCCGTGACTCGGATATGAAGCCTAGGCAGGGTTTAGTGTCGTTCCTCCATGAAGAGGGGGAGCGACAGCATAAGACGCGTTAGGATGCAGAAGAAAGAAAATCATAACATTTCCAACTGGAAGAGAGGAGAATGCAAAATTGTCAGAAATAAATTCCGGAAATATTTATTGCAGAACTATAATAGAAAAGATCAGGAACACAAAGCTGGGAGAAATGCAGTAACAGCAAATGTGTGGAAGAGTCAAGACTGGAACCAAGGTCTTCTGACTCAGTATGCCAAGCTCAGCCATGAAGAAAGCTTTGGTTTTGAATGGGAAAAATTGTTGGAAGTAAGGAAAACAAGTTGACCCTTAAACACATCTAAACTAGGAAAGGCTTATACTTCAGGGATGATGTTCCTGGATAGCTAGAGTATGGCCACTGTTGTCTTTCTGCTCCACACTTGTTGCTTTCTTTTGCCCTGCAGTGGTATTTGTCATAGGAAAGCACAGTGGAGAACAAACTACCTAACTTCTCAGATCCTAAGAGTAATTATACTACATATCTGATAAATCTTTCTAGTGTTTAATTCTCCACATTGCATGGAATTTTATAAATTAGAACCATTGGACAGAAAGCTCCACAGGAAATGCAGCAAATATGTACTTATGTAGCTAACCTACCTCCAAGTTTTCATTCCTCTCTATTTAAAGAGTTTATTCAAAGAAAGTTAATCATTCTGATTCTGTTGAATTCTTATTGTAGTCTCAGCTGAGAATGAATTAGAGCAAAGAAATAAAACTCCTGCTCTCTTCACCTGAGTAAGTAGCGTGGTAGGGTTCTGCGGAGTAACAGAAACAAAAAGAATATATAAAAAGAGATTTATTGTGAGGAGTTGGCTTACTTGGCAGTGGAGCCTGAGAAGTCCCAGGTCCACAGTCAGGTGAGCTGGTAGTGTAAGTTTTAGCCAAATCTGAAGGGAGAAGGTGCATTTAGTTCCAGCTAGAAGCAGAGAGTGACCCATCCCTTACCTGGTGTTTCTGTCCTCTTTAGGCCTTCAGTGGCTTGGCTGAAGTCCACATATACTGGGGTGAGCAGTCTGCTGTACCCATTCTATAGATTCAAACACAAATCTCTTCGAGAAACAGCTTTACTAATATGCCCACAAGAATGTGTACCAAATTTCTGGGCACCGGGTGGCCTAGTGAAGTTGACAGCTAACATTAACCCCCTGCTAAGGAAGCCTTGTTGACAATTAGATGCTGTCTGTGTGAAGATGAGTGTCTTGCAGCCTGAATGAGCTCGCAGCCTAGCGGGGGCCATGGGAACCGATGGAGCAACAGAAGCTGCAGAGGGGAAAAGGGTCCAGAGGAGCCGAGAATAACCTGGGAGGACATGCAGTCAGGTGGAGCCAATTAGCTTAGTCATTGTGTGCAATAAGAAGGGATGGAGCCTATTTTCAGTAGTCAGTGGGACTCCACCGGTGATTTTAAAGCCTGGAAGTGACACCATCACATTTATACTTAAAAAATTCTCTTCGGTGCATTGTGGAGAGCGACAGGAGGGCCAAATGCCTATGAGTCATCTCAGACTGGTGGAATGGCCCAAGAGGCTTGTTTAGAAAACGCATTCTCCTCCCCCATGTCACAGTCTTTGGGGGTGAGACAACAGAACCTGCATTGCAAAGAGGACCCACATATGCACTCTAAAAATTGAGAACCTGCTGTGCTGGAGATGGGAAAACCATTTAGGTAGCAGTTAGGTTACTCTTCTGCTGGGAAGCAGTGAGGAGGGGAATTCCAGGTAGATTTTAGAAGGAAGACTGGCAGGGATCGGTGACAGGTAGGTGTAGGTAGAGAGGGGTTTAAGATATTTGTGATTTGCATTACGTGTGGCACGTTTGTGCATATATAATTTTTCAAAGTAGTTGTGTTTGTACCTAATAGCCTATGTTTATTTTTGTACCTTAATACATCGTCATGACATACAAAGCATTTAATTGCTTATAGTTGATGTCTAGTGATTTTAAGAGATTTTGAGACAATGTATACATAAGGAAAAAATGGAAATTAGTTTCTATTTGTTCTTTCAGTGATCTGATTTTTAATTTTTCTTAGAAAAGCTTACCCAGATGAATGGATAGCCAACAGTTGGCTGTTGTTAATATTGATACTAGAATTTCTTGAGAATTTTGTAGAAAATCTATTAGAAGAAGAAAGAGTTCCATTTTAAGAACTTATGGTATTTTTTGGTCCTTTTGGTTAGTAGAATACTTGTTTCATTAGGCCAGGAAAATATATTAATGTTAGAGATTTGCCTTGTGCTTGTCTGGTGAGATTATTTTTACTTTTGTTTCTTTAAATGCTATTTTGTTGTCAGGAACATTATGAATGGAAGCTGACAACTCCTTGCCAACGTTTGGGAAGTAAAAAGGAAGAAAGAATTTAGGCAGCATTTAGGAAACCCAAAGGCACTAAAATAGATTAGAAATGGACTCATAAATGTTGGGTTTTATAGCTAGAGAGTATAAAGCCCTGCTGGTTATAAAGAAAGTAGTTTTATTTTAAACAAACGTAAAATTTAGGCTTTTCTAAGGATTTTTCCTTCTCCATGTGGTACACTCATCCACCAGGTGGCTTTTCAGAGTGGAACAGAGAATACTGGAGGGAACCTTGGTTTTCTAATTCTGACGTTATCACCTGTATGTGATCTTAACTTGGGGGACCCCCCCCCACCTGTGGGTCTCTCTTTCTCCAGCTTCCTCCCTCTGATACATCCTGTTCCACTTCTTTTTTTTTTTTTTTGACAGGCAGAGTGGACAGTGAGAGAGAGAGACAGAGAGAAAGGTCTTCCTTTGCCGTTGGTTCACCCTCCAATGGCCGCTGCAGCTGGCACGCTGTGGCTGGCGCACCACGCTGATCCGATGGCAGGAGCCAGGTGCTTCTCCTGGTCTCCCATGGGGTGCAGGGCCCAAGCACTTGGGCCATCCTCCACTGCACTCCCTGGGTACAGCAGAGAGCTGGCCTGGAAGAGGGGCAACCGGGACAGAATCTGGCGCCCCGACCAGGATTAGAACCCGGTGTGCCGGTGCTGCAAAGTGGAGGGTTAGCCTAGTGAGCCGCGGCGCCGGCTTGTTCCACTTCTTAAAGGCACACTTCTAAAGTTGATGGTACCGTATTCTGTACTGACCCTCAGTATACACATGTGTTGTTTTCTCTTGCTTTCTTGCTTGTCTCATCATTCTATCCCATGTACCTATACTTTGTACTCACACTTGACTCATAATAGTTCTTCTGCTTATTTCTTCTGCTTATCAAGTCATGCCCTCAGCCATGCCCTGCTTGGCAAATACCTGTCTCTAAATTCCTTTCCAGATCACAAGAAGAATTCATTACTGGCACAAAAGTCGAGACGTTAGAAAAGACATGGTTTTTATTTCCAAGTAGAGGAGAGTAGGTGTATCAGAAGAGAGAGAGTGTTTCTTGGCCTGAGGCTTGAAGTGAATTTTTCGTAAGGTGTTCATATGAGGCATTATCAAAGGACTTTTCAGCTTGAACAAAAAAGAATCCCAACTAAAAATAAGTGATTTCTGAATTAGTCCGTTGTGGTCTTGGCAACATCGTCAGTGATCCAAGTACTTTTTTTACGGTCAAGGCTAACCTTTTCTAGGTTATGTTGGATTACCCAGCCTTAAACACAGTGCTGCTCAGAGCACACCATGATTGCTTGTAGGACCCTGGCACTGGGGCAGGGATCAGTTTCTGCTGAAATGTGGCATGGTAGAATGGGATAACTGGACACATTTAGGGTTCTGTTAGGAAGGAGGATAATTATATGGGTACCCCAAACATCCACTACAGAGCCTAACTGAACAGTGTTGTCAGTTTAGTTGTATGTGAAGTGAACCATTTGGAGTTTCTTACCTCAGCCTAGAAGAAACTCAGGTAGATGTATAGGATTAAAAATATATAAGTATCACTGCTGAAATCGGTTTCAGACCTACCAAAGTAGAAACTCTGGGTGTGGCCCAGTAATCTACGCTTTAACAAAACCCTGAAAGTGGTTCTGATGCAGGCTCAAGTTTGAGAATCAGTAATACTTAAACATCAAGAATGTGACTTGAGTCCCTGCCTTTGCCACCATGAGATACAAGGTAGAATTGGGGAAAGCACTTTGCAGACAGTTGTTCTGGTTCTATTCACATACTGAAATGAGAGTGAACTTGAAACATCCCAACTTGCTCCTCTGAAATAGGGAAACATTTATCAGGGAAGGAAAGTGTTGAGGGCAAATGCCGTTTATCAGTGCTCAAGAGTGTTTGTAAATTCTGCCTACTTTTGTCATTTGTAAAATAGCTGAACTACTTAGAGCACAGAGTTTGTATAGATTAAGTGAAAGGTGTTACGACAGATACCTTTTAAACCAGAAATGGCTTTACAGGTTTCATGTTTCGTGTTCCCAGTTGTTGGTGTGTGTGTGGCTAGGTGGAGTTTGTTGTTGAGAAAGAGTCTGACTTAGCAGGCAGGTGTGCCTGGGTCTGCTCAGGGATTTCGGCACTGGGTGTTGAATAGAATGGCTGCATCTATTCACATGTTAGTCACTACTGTTTTAAACTGTTGTTGTTACTGTTTTATTAGTTTTACCATAATTATTTTCATGGTTCATACTTTTTAGCTTATTCAAAATGTATTAATTCTCATGCCTTTTATGCTAAACATGACTGCCTATCTTAAATCTTTGTCAACAAGATGAAATTTGGCGATATTCCTACAGGTGAATTTTAGCTTTAGGCTTTTCAGTTCTTTGTTGTTTAATTTTTTCTCTTTCCACCTACTAGAGACACAAATGAGTACAATTTTCAGCATTGCAAAGCAAAAACAGCCTGATCTTGGTTAGTTTCTGATCAATGAAAGAAAGGAAAAAAAATGTATCAAAATGTACCTTCAGAATAACTCAGTTATTAATGTGATAAATCTTTCAGGGCAGGCAGAACAGAGTGCTTTTATTACCAAGTAAATAAGCAGATTGTGGAATGCAGTTGAAGAACTTGATGCAGCTAAGGCAGCTTCCATGGAAATCCATGTTCACTAGAGTTAGAATTCAGGTCTATAGCAGGCAAAAAAATAGCTAGTGTAAAGGAATCCCATCTTATTTTTCTTTCACAAATTATTTTCATTTTATCTGACAGACAGAGAGATGGGAGGAGGGGGGTAAGAGAGACAGAGAGAGAGACTGATTAATCTCTCCCTGGTTCACTCCTCAAATGCCTGCAAACAGATGAGTTTGGGCCAAGCCGAGGCCAGGAGCCAGGAATTCCATCTGGGTCTTCCACATGGGTGGCAGGGACCAAGTACTTGAGCTACCGTTTGCTGCCTCCCAGAGTGCACATTAGCAGGAACCTGGATTGAAAGTGGAGTAGCTGGGGCCCAAACCAGGCACTCTGATAAGGGATGTGGGCATCTCAAGTGCCCACTCACTTGCTGAGCTGCATGCCCGCCCCCTGTCTTATTATCTAAAATACAAACTGACTTCTAGATATTTTCAAGATGTTTCCCTTTGTTAAATAACTTTTGGGCTAATAATAATGTAATTTTCTCACTTTGTGCTAGCATCCATTCTCCAGCTTCTTCTGCTACACTAGATTATATCATGGTGTATAAAAGCATTGCAGCTTGGAGAGGTCATGGCCATACAGGGAGTTTTAGGGGGGGCTGTGGTCTTGCTGTTTTGGTAGCAGCACCTGTACTTAACCCTAAATTAAAAGTTATCTATGCAACTGAGCCAGGAATTGTCTTTCACTAGTACTTGCTGTAAGACAAGCTGAACCAAACTTTTCTTTGCCACAGTTGATTGGGTAGGCACCTATGACTCTGAGAAATTACTGAGTTCTCCTGTTCTAAAATAAGAAACAGTGGGGTTTGTTCCATCGACTTGATTTACTAGACAGTATTCATTTCTTGTTTTTCTGGAACCAGTGTTGATTGGACAGGAAACTGTTTCCATTATCTCTGCTAATGGTGAGGAGCACTGGTGCAGATAATCAAAGTAAAATGACTTACAAATGTCCTGAAGGTACAAGTGCTCCTAGGGACAAGCTGCTCAGCATAGTAATGTCATTTAGAGCAGAAAGCAGACTTACATAATTAATAGTTTTTAGTGACAATATTATCCAAATTATTATCCGTGTAACCATCTGCAGACATGTGAAGACCGAGGAAAAGAAGTTTAAAGTGTTTGTATCATGTTTAAAGAAAGATAGAGTATACTTTGTTTTGTCAAGTGATGTTTGGTTCAAAAGTTGCCTGTAGATGAATTTCTTACCATTTACTCTCATAAATGCCCAAGTAAAATGCTCTACAATATTTCAGTCTGACCTTTTTTAAATTGAGATATATTTTCATAATTTAAAAAAAGCTTGTAATTAAAGCTCTCATTTATCATGTCCAGTCCTTGTGTTTTGGTGTGTAGAAGTGTTCACATTTTTAGTGACTTTGAAGGTCTATTTTTAATGTTACTTAAGCATGAGTTTGTTTTTTCATTTGTAGCTGTATGTTAATGTCTCATCTCGAAGAACCAAAAGTAACAGAAGACGAAGAACCGCCCACAGAACAAGATAAGAGGAAGAAGATGGTAAGTTACAAAAGCAGCTTCTAAAACCTAAGAGCCATGTGTTACCCTTATTTTCTGTAGATTAGAAAAATCATCTGTTAATCTATTTGTCCAATGATCTACATGTATAACCATCCATCCCCTTGTGAGAGTTAATGTAGATATGTGAGTTACGAAAGTAGGAGTGTACCCCAAAACAGGTAAATTATGTTCCTATGCAGAAAGTTGAAGTTTACTTTCAGTCTGAAATAGTCATTTCCTATGTTAGCAGAGCAGGTGGTTTACTCTTTTGCTAGTAAATACACGGCCCTCAGACGTACTAAAGTTAAAATTCTTATTCTTTTGCTTTGAGGAACTCTGCTGAAATTGCTTGCACCCCCATTTTAAAATACGCCCTCACAATGAGCTTTTTCTTGTAGGCCTGATAAGCTTTTATAGAAGTGCCCTGAAATTAACTGCTAACTTGTTTCAAAAGCCATTGATTCTCATTAAAACAATCAGAAAAAACAACAAAAGTAGGAAATAAATCTAAACATCTAAATAAATCTAAGCATCTAAAATACCTTGGCCTTATAATCTTCAATTTTTCAAATACTTATTTGCATCACAATTGCAAGTATTTTATATTCCTCATGAATATAAAAAAGTACATAATTACATTATTTTCCCCTTTATTTTGGAATCTTTTCTAGTTTGCCTTCACCACTTACTAGCTTCATTGTACTGTATGTTCTTTCCTCACTTGCAGAATTGAAAGCAATGGCATCTACCTTGTAGGTAGAGTAAATAAGTTAGTATATAAAGTGATTATGGGGTAGTACTGGACAGGTAGTGGGTACTATGTAAGTACTGTCATAATGTGGTCTGATGATTGTATTCATTCCTGAATTATCTCACATTAACCCTCCAGGACTTCACCCACGGTGTGGCTAGAACTATACTGCTCTAACAGCCTTCTTTTAAATAGAGCTGTTTGAGTTTAATTCGTTTTACTTTGCTTTTATGCTGGCTATCATCTTCCTAGCAGCTAGTGTAGAGAAAAGGACTACAGACAAGGCATCTGAAGACCTGACTCCTAGGCCTGTTTGCACTGCCTTCAGCACTCACCTTGCCATTCTGGAGCTGTTCTGCCTCATCTGTGACAAGAGAGGAGAACTGGATTAGCAGATTTTTAGGGCCTTTTCCCTCCATAGTGCATGGTATTTGTGAGTATACCTCCAAAAGCATTTCTCTCTTGAAATAAGATAGTAATGTGGTGCCTTAGACTGTGGAAAGTGTATTTTCTTCACTCACAGTGAGGATGTGAAGTGATTGTATCTGCGTTCTTATCTTCAATGCATAAGTAAAGGTCAGCAGAGAAGCAAGATTTATTTCTGTGCCAAGCGAAAGTACACATTCAAGAAGTTACGTGGGCATGTCCAAGAGGCAGCTACACCCCACAGAGTTCAGGGCCATCCCTTTATAAGATCTGGAGTCATGGTGGTGGTATCTGGGATGGGGCTTGATTGAATATTCAAATGGGGTGCAGTACCACCAATTTCCTTGACCCCCCCCAACCTGTTTTTTTTTTTTTTTTAAGATTTATTTATTTATTTGAAAGTCAGAGTTACACAGAGAGAGGAGAGGTAAAGAGAGAGAGAGAGAGAGAGAGAGAGAGAGGTCTTCCAACCGACGGGTTCACTCTCCAAATGGCCGCAAAGGCCAGCGCTGTGCCGATCTGAAGCCAGGAGCCAGGAGCTTCTTTCTGGTCTCCCACGTGGGTGCAGGGGCCTAAAGATTTGAGCCATCTTCTACTGCTTTCCCAGGCCACAGCAGAGAGCTGGATAGGAAGTGGAGCAGCCGGTCTCAAACCAGTGCCCATATGGGATGCTAGCACTTCAGGCCAGGGTGTTAACCGGTGCGCTATAGGCATGACCCCCGAACCTCCGCTCCCCGTTTTTTAAAGATTTATTTATTTATTTGAAAGGCAGAGATATATAGAGAGGGAGAGGTCTTCCATGCACTAGTTCACTCCCCAAATGGCCGCAGTGGCTGGAGCTGGGATGATCTGAAGCCAGGAGCCAGGAGCTTCTGGGTCTCCCACGTGGGTGCAGGGCCATTCTCCACTGCTTTCCCAGGTCATAGCAGAGAGCTGGATCAGAAGACAAGCAGCTGAGACTTGAACCAGTGCCCATATGGAATGCCGGCACTGCAGGTCACAGCTTTACCCACTGTATCACAGCCCTCCGCCTCCTTTAATCTGAGAAGTGTTATGGTGTCAGGTGCATGAAGGGAGTGGGAGTGTTGGCCTTGATGATTTTATTGCAATAACATTATAATGGCTGAAGGTCATTGCAGGGGTACAGCACGCTGCCATGATGGATATTTTTAGATGACACTGATCCTAAGCTGCAGAAGCCCCAGAAGCTGCACTTTTCTGCTGCACAGAACGGGGGATTGGGCAGTACATGGAAGGGGGAGGAGTTTAGTCAGTGTGTACAGGTTATAGTGCAGTTAAGGCTGCAGGGAGGTGCTAGCTCCCTCCCTGTCTACATCAATGGTAGCTTCTTGTGTAACCTAATAGTTTGTCTTTGTCCAACTCGCACCTGCATTTTTTCATGTATTGAATGTACCATTGGCAACATAAAAAATATATTATTTTTCTTCACAAGAATCCAAACTTGTGAATGCATAGTAGCTATTCAGTCTTCGGTCTTAATTTTTTTTTTTTTTTTACTTATTATTTTATTTATTTTGAAGGCAGAATGAAAAGAGCTAGAGCTCTCACCTACTGGCTCACTGCCCAGTTGTCTGCATCAGCCAGGGCTGGACCAGGCCAAAGTCTGGAACCCAGAACTCAGTCTGGTTCTTCCCCATGGGTGGCAGGGACTCAAATCCTTGAACCGCTGCCTACTGCCTCTCAGGATGCACAGTAGTTAGGAACTGGAATTGAGAGTGAAGCAGGGGACTCAAACCCAGATAATCAGCTGTGGATATAGGGAGTCCCAGGTAGCATTTTAACTGTCCCAGTCATCAGCTTTATTAATTTCAAATAGTCTCATAGATTTACCTACCCTTAGCAAATTAACTTACACAGATCTGTTTTTCATTCTGTGTATAATCCTCAGAAATATATAGTAGTTAATTTTCATTTTATTTTCAAAGTAAGTGAAATACTTTCTGAAGGGTCAGTCTAAAGCTCAGTTTTAGAAGTAACAGTTGGGCTGGCGCCATGGATCACTTGGTTAATCCTCTGCCTGTGGCATCCCATATGGGTGCCAGGTTCTGGTCCCGGTTGCTCTTCTCCCAGTCCAGCTCTCTGCTGTAGCCCGGGAGGGCAGTGGAGGATGGCCCAAGTGCTTGGGCCCCTGCACCCGCATGGGAGACCAGGAGGAAGCACCTGGTTCCTGGCTTCGGATCGGCACAGCGCCGGCCATGGCGGCCATTTGGGGAGTGAACCAATGGAAGGAAGACCTTTCTCTCTGTCTCTCTCTCTCACTGTCTATAACGCTACCTGTCAAATAAAAAAAAAAGAAAAAATAATTTAAAAAGTAAAAAACAAAAATAGAAGTAACAGTTACTTGGTTCAGTTTTGTGATCTTGAATTTTATTTGAGAGCTAGTTATTTTATCATTATTGATTTATTTTATGTAGAGTTGATTTATGGGACAACCATTATTTTTCAGAAGTCATTCACCGCAGTAGTTATTTGCTGTGGATTTATATTGTTATCTTTACTAAGATTTCCAATGCTTCAGTCTTAGGGGTATGCTAAATATACCACAGTAGTTTGTGATTGAAGCTGGCATTATATATCTGAGAAATATTTAGAGGCAACTGGCAAATTTCACAAGGAAAGAGGATGTGATTCCTGGTAGGCGTTAGGAATCATTATTTTAAAAGAACAGTCTAGTAGGAAAGGGTGTTTCATTTTAAAATGAAATTATTTACTAGGAGGAAAAAGTGTAGCTGCTTAGTTCTGAGTCATGTTAGTGAAAGTGTGACTTCCTGTTGTCACTGTTTTAGAGGGGTGCTTACAGCGTGGCGTCTGTGTGTCAGTGCCGACTTTGCTAGAGGACAGCAGCAGAGAAGCAGATCATCAGTAATGTGTCAGCTGTGCCAACCAGTCCTCCATGCATTTCTGAGAATCCTCCATGTTCTGCTAAGCAAGGATGAAATTTCCCTGTAGGAAAGCGATTCAGTGCTCTAGATTTTCCATCTGGTTTTCATTGAGCCTCCATCTGACCTCTTGTTTTGGGAGAAACAATACTTAGAAGATGAATGCAGCTCAGCAACTCTATTTGATATCTCAGTTCTTCCCGGTCCAGTATCTTCTCATTGTAGATCATTTTTATGACCTTTTAAATAAAGAATTAAGCTAACATTTGAAGGTATTAGTGATTTCTTTTTTGTGACCTGTGACTTGCTAGACATCTATTAGTTGTAGTTTACAAATTCCAGCCTTGAGCATATTAATACTGTTTGACAAGATCTATGATACCTGCTGAAAAAATATCTTTTCTTATTGTTTGTTACTTTTAAATAGTAAAATAAAATTTGTTTTTATTTTCTTTGAAGATACATTGTGGAATAGCTAAATCATGCTCGCTAACATGGACTACCTCAGCTCCTTACCATGTATATCATATTATCTTTTCCCAGAACATGTTTTAGGGTGTCATTTCCCCTCCACAATAGTTTTGTGACCCGATATACTCATAAATGAGGAAACCATACATTCTTAGTCTAATGTAATTTTAACTTTTTTTTAAAGATTTATTTTATTTATTTGAAAGAGAGAGGTAGAGACAGAGAAAGGTCTTCCGTCCGCTGATTCACTCCCCAGATGGCCGCAATGGCTGGAGCTGCGTTGATCTGAAGCCAGGAGACAGGAGCTTCTTCCAGGTGTCCCATGTAGGCACAGGGGCCCAAGTACTTGAACCATCTTCCACTGCTCTCCCGGGCCATAGCAGAAAGCCAGATTGGAAGTGGAGCAGCCGGGAGTAGAACCAGTGCCCATATGGGATGCCGGTGACCCGGGT